GCCACATATCTGCCCGGTAGTTTTTCTACTTTTGTTCTAATTAGCTAGCCCATTCACCAAAGGGCAGTTTCGTCTGCCAGCTGACAATTTGGCTGTCAAAGTCAACTGATAGCGCAGTCTCTACTGTTCAGTGACTTGTGATATTTCTTATTTAAACATTCCACTGTTGTATCACGTTAGCACAGGAGTTCATATGCTCTCCCAAAAAAGAAGACATGCTAAGACTTCCTTCCTTCCTTTTACCCACCACCAGCACTTCCTTCCTTCCTTCCTTCCTTCCTTCCTTCCTTCCTTCCTTCTGTTATCCCTGTAATCTCTTGTAAGTAATCTGTATAAACTCATCTGCATTTGGCGGGTGGGTTAGGCAAAATTTACAACTAGCTCTCATCCTGTCATAAGAAGAGTCACAAGAACAACAAGATTACCACCACAAATTTATACAACAAAAATTGAAGAAGTTCTCTGTTTGAATGAAGGTTAGGTCCAAACCTATAAAGGTTTGAAAATTACAGATCTAAAATAAGCCTTTCATTGAATACAGTGGAACTAATTTGTAAGTCGTTTTATAACATCTCATATCCCTCACCAATCTGATCTTAACATATAACACTGTGTAAAATACATATCTATGCACATAATGGCCAAAATCCTCTTTGAGTTTTACATAGTTAAGAGTAATCATATAAGTTTCTGCAGTTAGTCGCAGCTAATCAACTAGATTAGATGTGCTGGCTGTGTGATCGTAAGTACCACTGGGCAAGTGACTAGCATCAACTCAGTGCCTATCTCACTGCGGGCTCAAGGCAAGCATAAATCATTTTGAAAAGGGCTTTCAAAAATATAGGGTGCCCTGGGACTTAGCATCCTTTGAAAGGAAATACATCTGTATTTTTCCAGTGGTCAGAGACTGAGTGAAATTTAAAAATCAGAATTGTTACAAGAATGAAGTGCTCACAGAAGCAAAAACATGCAGGTACTCTAGTAATATTTAAATGGCACATGCACAGGGACAGAAATTTGTGTATGTATATGTCTTGGAAGAGGAAAATTGAATTAAGTCTGTCTTACGCTGTTGTCCCCCCCAGCTCCCGGGTGGCTGTTTTTGTGGGCACAAAAACTAAAGAAAGCGAAGACCACATTTGTTCTGCAGCACAATCTGAGACGTGATTGTGCTTTCAAGTTCTTGTAGATTCATCTTTGCACCCCATACAGGCAGGGAAGATCACCCGATGGCCGGTGACTGGAACGCCAGCCTGTTTTTTTTTTTGCATTTCTGTTTAATGATGGTCAGCCATGCTCACTTTGGTGTTCCAGCTTGTCCCTCGCAAGTCAGGAAAGGAAAGAAGCTAGCCTCCAAGTCCCTATTGAAAAAGATGCCTTTGGACAGTGTGCCGTGCTTTGCATAAATGCCTGATTTGACTAACAGAGAAATAAATGATAGCTGCTTCATGCAAATATTCTCAGATATAAATGGACATGATCGCTATGCGATTTCGTCATTGTACGGTGCGCTCGTTAAGCGAGGCACCACTGTATCTTGGAAGAGGAAAATGGAATTAAGCCTGTCTTACGCTGTTGTCCCCCCCAGCTCCCAGGTGTCTGTTGTTGTGCGCACAAAAACTAAAGAAAGTGAAGACCGCATTTATTCTGCAGCACGATCTGAGACGTGATTGTGCTTTCAAGTTTTTGTAGGTTCATCTTTGCACCCCATACAGGCAGGGTGACTGGAACGCCAGCCTGTTTTTTGCATTTCTGTTTAATGATGGTCAGCCATGCTCACTTTGGTGTTCTAGCTTGTCCCTCGCAAGTCAGGAAAGGAAAGAAGCTAGCCTCCAAGTCCCTATTGAAAAAGATGCCTTTGGACAATGTGCCGTGCTTTGCATAAATGCCTGATTTGACTAACAGAGAAATAAATGATAGCTGCTTCATGCAAATATTCTCAGATATAAATGGACATTTCCTCCAAGGAAACAGTAACAGCGGTGATGTTGGCAACACCTTCTTGGCAACACTAATCTTAGTTTGTAGGGACTTTATCGCCTGGATGCAACAGTGAACAACTGTTTTGTGTTCATGCACAGAAACGGCATCGTCGTCATTAGTTTTACGCACCGTATTGCTCTGATACGTTTTTATTCATTTCAAGAAGCTTCTTACAGGCAGTTACCTCAAGCGCTGGGATTCACCTTTCCGCCCCTAAAACAACATGTTGTCTTCCATTGTTCTAAGCTAGTTTGTAGTAGCCAAATTAAAATGCTATAGTTAAACAAGTTGCTTAATTCTATGAGGCTAAATAAGGTGATTAAATACAGTCTGCTTGTTTTTGTGATCATAGCAACTCCCACCTGCTTGATTCAGGATTTCACTAAAGCCATAACTACAGCTTTTATATTTATTTCGCAATAACTAACATTTGGAGTGTCCCCTTCAAGATCAGTACAGCCTCGTGGCACAGTGGTTAAACCGCTGTACTGCAGCCAAAATTGTGCTCATGATCCGGGGTTCAATTCCAGGTAGCCGGCTCAAGGTTGACTCAGCCTTCTATCCTTCCAAGGTCAACATCATCATCATCATTAGTTTTACGCACCGTATTGCTCTGATCCGTTTTTATTCATTTCAAGAAGCTTCTTACAGGCAGTTACCCCAAGCGTTGGGATTCACCTTTCCGCCCCTAAGACAACATGTTGTCTTCCATTGTTCTGAGCTAGTTTGCAGTAGCCAAATTTAAATGCTATAATTAAACACGTTGCTTAATTCTGTGAGGCTAAATAAGGTGATTAAATACAGTCTGCTTGTTTTTGTGATCATAGTAACTCCCACCTGCTTGATTCAGGACTTCCAGCTTTTATATTTATTTAGCAATAACTAACATTTGGAGTGTCCCCTTCAAGATCAGTACAGCCTCGTGGCACAGTGGTTAAACCGCTGTACTGCAGCCAAAATTGTGCTCATGATCCGGGGTTCAATTCCAGGTAGCCGGCTCAAGGTTGACTCAGCCTTCTATCCTTCCAAGGTCGGTAAAATGAGTACCCAGCTCGCTGGGGGTAGGGCGGCAATGTGTAGCCTGCATAATTAACTTTTAAACCGCCCAGAGAGTGCTTGAAGCACTATGGGGCAGTATATAAGCACCACGCTTTGCTTTCCTTTATAGAACAGTTTTTAATATAACCGTTTCAAGAAAAATAACTTGAGAGATTTGTGAACATCCCCATTTTTTTGGTCTGTTCTCTGAAGCTTTCTGTCTGTATGCTGGGTGAATATCCAAGAAAGTGTAATTCAGTCTGTGAAACATGTAGGCACACAAGCATGTGATCTGACTTACGGTCCAAAGCTGTGTTTACTTCCGTACAGGCGTACCTCAGTTTACGAATTGAATGCATTCTCTGGGACGTTTCATAATGCGAAAAATTTGCAAACCGAAATGCAGTTTCCCATAGGAATGCATGCACGGGGGGCAGCACTATAAACCTTCCAGAGGCATTGCAAACTTGCTTCATATTACAGAAAAAATGGTAAACCAAGGCATTATTTTCAATGGATTTTCATTCGTAAACCGAAAATTGTGTTAATTTTCGTTCGTACACCGAGATACGATTGTAGTTCCAACCTGCCTCCAATCTTGCTTTCGATCCTAGTGAATGCTTTTGCCTGACGTTGCTGTTGGCTGGATGGCAATTTGAAGCCGTCTCTCCTTAGAGAAAATTCATCACACTCTTTCTCTTCTCTCATTGTTTTAAGGGAACAGAGCCATAGATTGGGGCTTGAAACATCACCTCCTGTCATTGGATTTCCCCTTTTCCAGCATGGCTTCAGAAGGATGCATTTAGTTCCTTGATATGTTCTTATCTAATCAAGGGCTTGTAGGATGCAAGATTCTGGCATCCTTTGTGTGATTACGTTTTTGTTTGGTGTCTGGCACATCTTGTTCCCAAGGCAAGCCTCTTATCAAAGATGCTTGGAAACCAAGAAGTCTTGATGGTGTTGTTCCTTCCACTCCAAAAACTCCTGCAGGAACTTGGGGCCGGTAGCTTACCATGCTTCATTTTTCTGGACTGTCTGCAACCCGGCAGATTCTCTGCTCTTCATGTTTCCATGTGAATGCTTTGCAAGGTGTTTGCTTGTTGTTGTCATGAGGATGCGGTAGGTAGGATGGGCGCTTAGAGAGTTACAGAACCCTCTCATGCACGGTGCGTGAGTGTTGCAATGAAGGGATAAGAATGAGTGTTGCCTTCTGCAAAGGTGTTGGTCTGTTGAGCGACAGCTGGGGAAAGTGGCCACAGAAAGAGAAGGAACATTTTAGGGTTACTTTTAGGACTATATTTTCCAGGCTAGAACCTTGTTGTAAGCCTTTGGATGCTGACATTTGCATCAGATGCCAAGAGAGAAAAAAACAAATGACATAGGCATGCATATGTACATATGCAAGTTCTGCATAAACCTTGGCCACCCGTTGCCCCTACAGCTATCTGCTCTGCCTGGCAGATGCTCCTTGCAATGACGAATCAAAAGGTTTTTGCAAATCCGTGGTTTTAAATGCCTAGTCTCTTGCCTCTCAAGGCTAGATGGAAAGGTTGATGTACATGCTATTTGGAACATAGGCATTTTCTCCTTCATCCCTTGGTTTTTGGAATGGCTGAGCTTATAATCATAACATTTGCAGTGCTTTGTCATTGTTTGAAATACAGTACTTTACGTACATTAACTTGGTAGTTCTTACGGTTCTGTAATCGGGTACTGTTTTCCTTATGCCATAATGCCATAGTTAATGAAGCTGAGCATGAGAGAGAGAGAGAGAGGTTGGCTTTGTTATGTTGTTATGACCACCAAGAGTGGGAAGATTTGAGCTAAGAGTCGTCCTAGTTTATAGATTAACCTCTCGTCTTTGATCCTTGTCCAGTTCTCTGTGGCCAGCCACTTGCCTCGTTGTATAATGTAGTATCAAAACTGCCAAGGTGAGTCTGAGTTGTCTTCACTTTCTCATTGTCTTCCTTGCCCTACAGCATGTGGTCCGCAGCTTACCAATTCTCCCACTGTGATTGTTATGGTCGGCCTTCCAGCCCGTGGGAAGACCTATATTTCCAAGAAGCTCACACGCTACCTCAATTGGATTGGCGTCCCCACAAAAGGTAAGGCCCTGGGCTACTTCATCCCCATAAAACCAAGGTGGCTTCGAACAGATTTTCAGATGGTTGTGAGGTCCAACTTTAGAGGGATCTAGGGATGATGGATTCTTTGGAAATGTGTTTATATACATGGCATCTTCAGAAATAATTCCCTTGAAAGCCAAGTTCCTAGAACTAACTCAAACCAGCAGTTTGTGCCCATCTCTAGTTACAGTGGTGCCTCGCAAGACGATTGCCTCGTGAGACGATTAATCCGTAAGACAATTGGTTTTTGCTATCGCTGTTACGCTTTGCAAGACAATGTTTTCTATGGACGATTTTCGCAAGATGACGATTTTTCCCCATTGGAACGCATTAAGTAGATTTCAATGCATTCCAATGGGGAACCGCATTTTGCAAGACAATGTTTTTTCTATGGCCGATTTTCGCAAGACTATTTTCCCATTGGAACGCATTAATTAGATTTCAGTGCATTCCAATGGGGAACTGCGTTTCGCAAGACAATGTTTTCACAAGACGATGTTTTTCGTGGAACGAATTAACATCGTCTTGCGAGGCACCACTGCATTCATTCATTCGTTTGTTCGTTCATTCATTCAATTTGCAGCCTGCTCCCATTACTGTCGTAGCACTACTCTGGGTGGGTTACAATCTCATAAAATAGAAACCACAAATAGAAATATTAAAACGGATAACAAAAACCATTAAAAAAAGCTTTTGCCTACTGGTATAATTTACTTGTGCACAACAACCTTTGGGAGGAACCTAAACATTCGTACTCAGTTTTACGAAAGCATTTCCAGCTGCCTTACAAGGGAGGGGTCCCAGTTCACAGGAGGCCTTCGGGAGGAACCTAAACATTCATACTCAGCATTTCCAGCTGCCTTACAAGGGAGGGGTCCCAGTTCACAGGAGTCGCATCGCCAGGTTGCTGCTAACGGGTCTGCCATGCCCGGTAGAATACACATATCTTGCTTTTTGCACGGAAAGCTCATTAAATGTCACTTGCTTGCATGTCTTTCTGGGCTGATCCCCCCCCCAAAATACTGGCCTTGATTCCCCCATTTCTTCCCTTGCAGTGTTCAACGTTGGCGAGTATCGCCGGGAGGCCGTGAAACATTACAGTTCCTATGACTTTTTTCGTCCCGATAATGAAGAAGCCATGAAAGTTCGCAAGTAAGTGTGACTCTCCTCCAGAATGCCCCTGGAACCGAGTCTCTGCTTTCGTTCTTTTTTTGCGCTCCAACGGGAGGTGCTCTTCCAGTTAATCTGTCCAGTACTCGGCGTGATATTTACAGGACAAACAGCATAGCGGAGACACAAGCAATGCACATGTCTGTAATCTGATTAGTTTCATGCCATCTACAGATTTTCATCGTTCAAACAACTTCCTGCAGCGCAGGCACTGGTGACCCACCAGGTCCAGATTGATTCTTGGCAGGGCCAAGGAAAAAGCCTTTAGGAACTTAGTGGTTTAATGATTTGTTTAGTTTAGGGGGTTGAGGCTGTGTTTGGGACTTAAATGGCTTTTGGGATTCTACTCACGCTACGATCCAAAACATTCTTAACCTGCTTTTCCTGCTCTGCAGGCAATGTGCCTTAGCTGCCCTGAGAGACGTCAAGCTGTACTTGACTGAAGAAGATGGTCAGATTGCGGTGAGTGGCACTTCAAAAAAATATCCAATCTGAGGGCCTTTTATGGTCAGATCTCACAGCTTGGAGGGAGCTCCTTAGTTTAGCCTCTGGCTGCACGGCTGGTCTCCAGCAAAAAGGGGACTTATTCAGGCCACTCTCTAGCTCAGGGGTCAGCTGATGCTTAGTCGGGTTACCCTTTTCTTTTTCTTAATATGTCCACCACCGTGTTAGCAAATTCATAGGAGATCAAGCTCAGAATTTCTGAACCACAAAGATTACTAAACATACTTCCGTTCCTGCACCCTGGCAAAAATGCAAGAAGGACGATAAGCCGTTGTTTAATGGTAGAGTGAATGTTTTCTCAAGGGGAGGGTCTCGGGTTCAAGCAACTGTATCCCCCAGGCTGGTTCGTTTTTTTATAATTTTATTTTAAAGGATAATGTAGCAAGAGGTGCTAGGTCTGCTGACGATCTTGGGGAGCGGCTGCCATTTAAGAACTGTCCTGGGCTGGAAGGGCAAATAACATGCTTTGCATCATGGCTGAGAAAAATTAGCTTTCTGGATTATAGTTCCCAGAAACCGTAGGGGGTTCTGGGAGTTGTAGTCCAAGAAAAGTTTTTTTAAAAGTTCTAAAGCGAAATGCTCTTTGCAAGAGATCGCTCACCAGATGGTCCATCTGAATTGGATGTGTGGTTCTCTGTTGATCCTGACTCTTCCTTGGGAAGAACAGCTCTTGAGAAATATCTTCCCCCCTCCCCGCACTTTTTCTTAAAATTAAGTCTCTCGTTTTTTTCTTTTTCCAAAAAGGTTTTTGATGCTACAAACACAACCCGAGAGAGAAGGTCAATGATCTTGCATTTTGCCAAAGAAAATGGATTTAAAGTGAGTAGAAACTTTCTAGCCGTGTAGTTTGACAAGCCTTTATCGGAGTTAACAGAAAGGGGTTGAAATGGATATTTCTGTTATAGGGTTAGAGCTGGAAGTTTCTGTGACTTTGGCAAATTTTAAAACCCCTTTTGTTCCGCTCCCTTTCATTTTTGCAAAAAATAAATGTAAATAATGATTCTTAAACTTTCCTCCCTCCCTCTTTCTATACCCAGTGTCATGTTCTAGCGATAGCTCTCTTGCGATTTTGAATGTCATTTTTCTGGCTTTCTTTGAAACACATGGGTTACAACCATCTACTTGGGTACTGCAGAGGTTGGAAAAGTTCTATTTGGAACACAGCATCAAGGTGGGACTATGAGACTTGCAGGATTCTAAGAGATGTAGTCTAAAAGCACATGTCTTTCAAGATCTGCGAAACAGGGCACCATTGGGAAGCCTTAGCTAAGGGGTAGACGTTGCACAAAACGCCGCAGTGTGCTTTGCATCCAGAATGTTCGAAGATCAATCCCTGGCTTCTCAGAGTATCGGGGCTAGGATATACCGTTTTTATCCTGAGATCTCTCTGAGAACACATAACCGTTGGAATAGAGTGGTAGATGGATTAATGGACTTGACATTCAACGTAGGTTCGGACATGCTTCAAAAATGTCTGTCTTTCTGTTTCCCCCAGGTGTTTTTCATAGAATCTGTCTGCAATGACCCATCTGTGGTTGCTACTAATATTATGGTAAGCACAAAAACTGCCACTTCCCGTCAAGGATCTTGTTGAGTCTTAGAAAGAGCTCCTTGGAGCCAGATGCTGATAGAACTGGTGATATCCTGGGTTGATCTGGCTGAGGGTTTGGCTTGGCAGAAATGGCTTTCCTCGGACCCTCATTCGATAACCTGGAGTGTGCCGGCCTTATCGTTTGATCATCAACCCTTTCTAAAGATCAGCTCAAAGACAGCATCATGATAAGCAAGGAGAGACCCATGAAACCCAAAGGCAGAAAGAATGTGGACACCTGATATTTAAAGTGACTCGTTCTGTTACTTGTTGCCTTGCTTGTTGCTTTTTGCTAACATAACGCGCGCGCCCCCGGGATGGACAACAGATAGTCTATTAACATTTTAAATCTCTATTGTTAAAAAAAAAGTCTTTTCACAGTTACTTTTAAAAATAACTGGGAAATAATAGTTTCACCAGTAAATAATGTTGTCCACATTATTTCTGAAATGCATTTGTAATTATATATTTTTTTAACTAGAGTGGTCTAGTATGACCAGATAGAATTGTCCACATTATTTCTTAAATGCATTTGTAATTATATATATATATTTTTAACTGTAACTTAGTTGCACTCGCATTTTCCCCAGTAACTCATTACAGGTGCTTTAGTTGTAATTATTTACCTATAAACTCTGGCCGAGGGTTAATTCATACGGCTTTCACTCCTTTCCTCTCCCCTGCCCACTGAGACACAGTCTTTTAAAGGATTTAGACTGATGCTGATTTCTAGGGAGACCTGAACCAGCAACTGTGCAAGGTCTTGTGCATGCTTGCTCATTTCCCTTTTCTTTCATCCTCTTAAAAGTGGCTCTTGGTGATGGGCACTACACCTCTTTTGAAGAGGCTGTTTCAGTCATGCTCTTCATATTTGTTAAAGAGGGAGCAATCAGGGGAAGTTTTTTGAGAAATGACCCGATGACGGTCATGTTGAAGCAGTGCAGCAGTCTGAATCAGACTCCGCTATCCCAGCAGTAAAAATTGTCTAGTTTTCATGCCAGTTCTTACGCCAACACTCCTTTTTCTTTGTTGCACTGATTTAGGAAGTCAAGTTGTCCAGTCCAGATTACAAGGACTGTAATTCAACTGACGCGATGGAAGATTTTATGAAGAGAATCAGCTGCTATCAATCTAGCTACCAGCCTCTTGATCCAGATGATTATGACAGGTAAGGAAATTCTTTTTTTTCCTTAGGCATACCAAACTAGGTTGCAAATTGCTTAAAAGACACTTCTTTACGTTCTTCACATTTTGCTGCTTTGGGGATCTCTCTTAAAGTCAAAAGAAATGTGTTTCTCGTTCTGGTAAAACAAACCCATTTTTCCTAGCTTTGGGCAACACACACAGTTTTGGTAAATAGTTCCCTCTGAAGTTACTTAGGTGTATAGAAAGTCTGTGCCAGTTTAGACTGTATGAAAGCTTAAAACAAGAAGCTTTTGAATGTTGAACTGTTTCCATAAGCTAGCTGGCAGGATGATTGGGCTTGGTGTGGCATATCTACCTGCACTTCTGAGGTTGTGATAACTTGGTAGTCAAGCGAGTTATGCCCCCTGATTCCACAAAACCAGAGAAGTAAGAAAAGATGCTCTTTCAAACCACCTGCTGTTACGGTTCAGATCCTGTTGAAATCTGGTAGGACTACTCACCACCTTGCCCTCAACCTTTGTTCTTGAAAATTTAGGAGGAAATGTGTCCTATTCAGCCTAATGCACCCGGAACAGCTGCCCAAATACTTCTACAGCTGCTCTGTTCATTTATGGGGTTTGATTTTGGACACGGTTGCGTCTTCGTGTTTTCTCCCCCCCCCCCCCCCCTCTTTGGGAGCAAACGGTTCTGATTCCCTTTTTCCCTTCTCTAGAGAGCTCTCGCTTATCAAGGTGATTGATGTTGGCCGGCGGTACCTCGTGAACCGGGTCCAAGACCACATCCAGAGCCGAATTGTGTACTACTTGATGAACATCCACGTCCAGCCTCGCACTATCTACTTGTGTCGACACGGTGAAAGTGAATCCAACCTCAAAGGGAAGATCGGAGGAGACTCGGGGCTATCCAGCAGAGGGAAGAAGGTAAGGGTCGGAATGAACCCTGTCTCCTGGAATTGAGAGACACGACTTTTAAACTATGATGTGGTTGCAAGTTGTGTGTGGGCTGACCTGGAAGTAAGCCGTACGGAGCACTTTGACCTTTGTTTCTGTGTGAACAGCCACGGGATTCGGTTTTTAAAAGTACGCGCACAGGGATCTATCGCTGGTGTTTTTGTACTGTAACAAAACGGCTCTTCAGATTTCATTAGCCTTTCCCTAGACCAGGTCCATTCTGTTCTGCAAAATCTACATGAGGCTAGCAGGCTTTATCCGGATGTGCCGTATTTTTCCGTGTATAAAACTATACTAAATCTTTAGACTAAAAATTGAGGGTTGTCTTATACACGGAAGTAAGCTGAGGAAAGAACAAAAACAAGTGGAGGGGAAAGCAGGGATCAAAGCAATCCTGCAGCGCTTTGATCCCTTTCCCCCTACACTTGCTAAGGCCCACTTAGATTTCTTAATTTTAGATTAGAAAACAGGGGGGGGGGCGTCTTATACACAGGAAAATATGGTATTTTAGATTTGGGAGAGCCAAACAAAAAAAAAGAGATGCTTTGGTGAGGGGAAAAGAGGGGGTCCTTCTGAAGGCCTGGAAAGACCTTTTCCAAAGCTGCTAGAATGTTCGTGCATGATCGTAAGAATGGCTCCCTTTTTATGGCATAAATAAGGAGGGAGAACAAAGCTCCTTGTAATGGCCTGATTTGGATCTTAGAGGACTTCAAAGAGAGTTGGTGGGGTCTTTTGTTAATAGCGGTCACCCTGCTCAGTAGTTCTGAAATCCCAACCAAGAGGCCAGATCCACTGCCTGCTTTGGCACTTCGCTAACATGAGCAGTGATGTGTCTGGAGACTGGGGTCCTTCTTGCAGGTGTGCCCTACACACAAGCAACAACCGAAATTTCCCACTTTGCTCACATGTAGAATCTACAGCGAGCAAGAAAACTCCCATCTTCAGAGTTGGCAATGCTTTGTATCCACAAAGCAATAACTGCCTTTTGATTCTGGACTTTATAACTGCTGACTAGGACATTGGTCAATTCTGTTTCTTTCTGTGGTGGCTTCGGTACTGCTGCATGCCGATGTTATTTCCCCTTCATCTCACTCTCTGCCCCTTTTCCCCATGCAATTCTGGCTGTGAGATGAGAGAGGGGTCTAACAAAGGCATACACCCTTATTTTCATTGTGATCCTCTTCTTTTCCTTTTTAGTTCTCCATTGCACTGAAGCATTTTGTCCAGGAGCAGAACCTCAAGGACCTCAAAGTCTGGACCAGCCAGCTAAAGAGGACCATCCAGACTGCAGAAGCACTGGGGCTACCCTATGAGCAGTGGAAAGCATTGAACGAAATTGATGCTGTAAGTAAGCTCCTTCTCCGGCTTTTGGGTTTAGTGCTGTGCTTTGGCTGAGAAGTGGTCCGATCCCCCCCGATCCCCAGAGGGTTCCTGGAGTTGGAAGAAAACTGCAGACAACAAGATAAAAAAAATCCAGTACCAAAAAGGGAGATGTGGAACCTTGCATTTTTGATCTAGCATTTCCAGAATTATCTGAACTACTGTAAATCCTAGGCTTTCAGTGGATCTTGGTATAATCCCATGCATAATCGAAAGAACATGAGCTGTAATGAAATCTCATTTAAATTGGCCTATGTGAATAAGTGGGCATTGGAAATAAGGGCTGTATAAGGCCAGAGGCTTCTGGGACATGTAGTCCAGAAAAGTAAAATTTCTAGCCTTAGTTACAATAGGCTTCTGTTCCGTTAAATCAGGTGGACAACTACAGCTCTCTAAATGTTCTTGCCCTACAACTCTCAATGACCCTAGCCAGCTTAGCCATGATCGAAAGATTGTGGGAGTTGCAGTTCAAAAACATCTGGAAGGCCACAGGAAGTTGTCCTCTTCCATGTTAAGTCAACGTGTGTTAGATGCTCTGAACCTGTCCTAGCTATCTCTCTGCTTAGGAGCTTGCAAACATATCAGGGACTGTCTCTTTGCAAGATAAATTGCCCTGTTTTAATTTACTGGAGCATTTAAGGAGCCCACCTGGCTAGCATCCTTTTGTGGGGATAAAAACTGTTTAAGGAGTCTGAAATGGTTGCATAAACTGGTCATTATAACAACAGGAACATTCTCTCCATTGCAGGGTGTATGTGAAGAGATGACCTATGAAGAAATCAGGGAGAGGCACCCTGAAGAATTTGCCTTACGTGACCAAGACAAATATTATTACCGCTATCCATCTGGAGAGGTATGACCGGAGGAAGGGGATATTGTGTATGTGTGTGTGAGTTTGGTAAATTTCAGATTTATTGTTGAACACCAGTTGCTGGTGGAAGGTACTGTATTGGGTTTATTTGATTTTATACTGATTCTTGAGACTGCTCAGCTTGGCCCCCTGCAGTTTCCTCATCTCAGTTTGCTGTCCTAGCATTCCATTTTGTGGAAAACCTCCCCTTCCAGCTGCTTTCCCTGGTCGCAATTCATCCTTGGCTTGTGGCCTGCCTCAAATCATTCATTTTTGGCACAGCCAGCTTCAAGAGACTCATTAGATCAATCTGCCTCTGATTGGGGTAGCTGTATGAGTTAAGTCAACTCCTGGAACATGAGACAGGTTTTAATACAGGAGTTTTGGGGCACCTGGTTTGGCACAAGCTTTTGCAGTGGGTTACCATCGACGAAAGCTTATGCCACATAAAACATCCTGCTAGTCCTCATGATGCTTTAAAATTCTTCTTAAGAGGCCCCAGCTAGCATGAGATTCTTTGTCATCATAGTGCCTATATTCATAAAGTACTTCAACACTGAGTTTTTCTCCTGCCTGTCTCTCGTCTTTACACATGCTTTCTTTTTTTGCCCTCGTAGTCTTACCAAGATTTGGTGCAGCGCCTGGAGCCCGTCATCATGGAGCTAGAAAGACAGGAGAATGTCCTTGTCATCTGTCACCAGGCTGTGATGAGGTGTCTCCTGGCCTACTTCCTGGACAAGAGCGCTGGTGGGTAGCTTTTCCGTGTCCAGACCTTGTCTCTGTGTATTGTTGTAGCATCTCTCCTTTAAACTCTGAGGCTGCCATCCTAAGCACTGTGGCGAGCAAATTCTACAGAAATCAGTAGGACTTATGTAAACTGGGAATTTTAAAGTAGGAATAGGTAGGTTGTCAAACTAGGAAACGGCTAAGCTTAGAAAACTTCCTTGTTCCAACTACATCTCTCAGAATCCACTCGTCAGCCTGGCTATTTGCCATGCTTGGTTGGGGACCCAGGAGGGTTGTAGCTTCACACGCCACAGAGATCGTCAGATCGGAGGAGACTGCCGTGATGAATGCAGATGGGGGCATAATGAACTTTGGAAAGGATTTTAAAAGAGCAGGGGTTGCAGCGATACGTTCTGAGACAGAATTCCAGGCAAAAAACTTCCTCACTGTTAAAGCAGTGTGACAATGGAACACATGACCTCAAGAGGTGGTTGTGAGCACTCCAATGCTGGAGGGCCTTCAAGAGAAACTTAAGACAACAACCTGGCAGATACTTTGATTTACCGTATTTTTCTGTGTATAAGACGCCCCCTTTTCTAATCCAAAATTAAGAAAAGTCGGCAGGGGTTAGCAAGTGTAAGGGGAAAGGGATCAAAGTGCTGCAGGATCGCTTTGATCCCCGCTTTCCCCTCCACTTGTTTTTGTTCTCACCTTACTTCCATGTATAAGACAAATCTCAATTTTTAGTCTAAAGATTTTAGCTGCCTAGAGTGGTTGAAATGACTAGATAGGCGGGGTATAAATACAATAAATAAATAAATATAGTCTTATACATGGAAAAATATGGTATATTCTTGCACTAAGCGGAGGGTTGGACTCGATGGCCGTGGAGGCCCCTTCCAACTTCATGATTCTGTTCTAAATAATAAGCAATTAAACTTTGGGGAGAAGCCTTTCTCAGACTCATGAATGAGTAAGGCATTTGCTAATCCGCGGAAATGTTTGAGAGGTGTTTTGTTTGCACTTATTCATCTGCTGTCTCATAAATGTAAGCTATTTCCCTCCTATCTCGCCCTTTAATCTTGTTGCTCCTGAGCTCTGTCAAACCATGGCTTCATCCAGCCCTTGGGGAAGTTATGTTTGTGAACTCCTGTTCCCAGAAAGCTCTGGCTGGTGGCCTTGCCAGTTGGTGGCATTTTGAAAGTTGCGTTTGCTGCCAAGGTCCTCCATCGATCCTGCTTATCTTTCCTTTCTGGCTACCCGTGATCTTTTAGGCAGTGTGAGATCCAGATACGGGTGCAGGAATTGTGGCAACCACTGTCAAGGCAACCAGACAGAAAATCAGGCTTTTACATCAAATTTTGCTGAGACGTCCCAGCGGCTGGTTATTCTCTTGAGAAATGAATGTCATCTTTGGGCTGGTATCCAAACTGGAAACCTAAGTCCTGTGTCTTGAGCAAGGCAACGGGGGCAGAACCAGCTTGGTCTGCAAAATGGACTGAGAAGATCAGGGGTGATAGACAGAATGGACATGATGGGTTTGGAAGTCTACACCGCCTTTCTCAACTAGATCTGAGATGGCTGGGGTTGATGGCCATTGTAGTCTGGCCCACCTCGAGGGCTTAAGGATGGGCAGTGTCCAATGGATTTCTCTGATCAGTTTTCTCCTCTCTGTTTTCTTTCAGAGGAAATGCCTTATTTGAAGTGTCCCCTCCACACAGTGCTGAAGCTGACCCCTGTGGCCTATGGTGAGTTCT